TGGGCGACCAGTTACCAGCAGCAGTAAAGAAAGGGTACTGTGTACTTGAAAACCGAACCAATACTCGAAAGAATCGAATTGAATCGACTCAATGACAATTGCCAGTGCAGTCCAATCCTAAACAAGGTACTGCTGTCTTGCGCTCTTGCCTTTGACGAACGAAATGTGAGATCCTGGTGGATTCAGATGGGGATACAGAGAAGAGTGGGCCCTGTTGTATTAGGGGTGTTTGAATACGTATAGAATAATTTCCTAGGTTCCTTTACCTCCGCTGCTTGTAATTTCCAGCCCAGGCCATGAGGATCCATCAGAGAGACTACCGTAGACATGATGAGGATCACTGATTTAGCAGCGATCCATTCTGAAATAAAAATAAACGGTGAATCCCGTCCAGTGTTTCAAGAATCGTTTCCTTCAGGTGCAGGCGTATCCATACAGATACATATTAGGTAGGTGCTAGACTAGGTATATGTGTATATAGTTGGATGCGGTAGATGCAGGTCGCCGTCAGCACAGCCTTCGATGATTATAATTAGTTCTGGATGTCAGGTATTATGTGCTGTAGCTGTTCTAGGTACGGATACTACCTACATAGGTAAGCAAACGTAATGATGCTGCTTGCTATCATGTCTAGTTTCGTCTGTCTGCTGCAAGAGTCCTACATCTGTTCCATTGGACCCCATCCATGGATGTTTCACGCGTAAAAGGAGGGGCCGAGGACGATAATTTATTATCAGCAATAATTAGGGTCCATCATCAAGGATGTCACTCGAACAAGTGCCTGGCCAGTTGTTGTGAGTATTATATATGAGGACAGGAATTGAAGCCTATCTATCGGCAGTGTGTTGACTTGATATCTGAGTTCATACACCCAGATGAGTATCTACAAGCGCGGTAATAATAGCACGACCAACAACAAACCTGAAATCATGTCCATGGCTTGCTTGCCCACCAGGCCTTTGCTGAGAATGTCTCTGCCTGAAGTCAGCCTGAGCCTCTAACTGCTAGTACCTTGGAAACTTAGACAACACCCTGCCCTGTCCTGTCAGCCACGGGCGGTCAAAGCTGTCGCTAGACAAAAGCACGGTTTACATACAGTACAGTCAGTTAGTTACAGTGCTACCCGGCCTTGGTTAGCCTGTTTCTTACCAGTCAATCACGGGCACCGCACAGGTATGGTGAGTTTATGAGGTCATTCCAATCCCCAGATCCCCCCCTTTAAGCCTGAGAGCAAGCATTGCAATGCTTGCTGGTCGAAACAAACTAACAGATGTTTAAACCTGACGGGCAGAGGAAGAGACAGGAAGGAAATGCTCTTGCCTGAAGCAGGCTAAAAGGGACACAGTCAGATTTTCTCTTTTGCCATCATGATCATTGTGCGCTACTGCAAATAACCTTGCTCTGTTGGAAATTGCTTCAATGAAGATCTCATCACGTGTGTCCTGTGAGTGTGGAGGAGTATGGGGGCCACACTCGAGGGTGCCAGCGCAGGGCATCAGGGCATACACTAGACACTTGGATGAGTACATGCAAGGAGTTTCGGTGTGTGTATGTGTGTATATATCGACATCAGAACTTCATCAAAGGTGTGTAATGTTGCAAGTTGGGCTGTTGTATGTATCAATGGTCCAAACTTTCAAACCCAGGTAGGTAAATGTCAAGGTAGGCTAGGGTCAATGTAACGTAGACGACCTCATATTTCGATTATCCGGTGGTAAGGATTTCGAGCAGTAAATAACACGATTGCATCTGTACTAGAGCTAGAATTGAACAGCAGTAACTAAACAAGTGGCATAAAACATTCTTCTTACCGCTTTAACTATAAATCAAAAAGACCAGGAGATGCATGGCTGATGCTCATGCTCATGCATGTGCTGACCTGTCCGACTCATTATATCCAACCATAGATAGGCAAAATTTCTCCACACCTTTCCGTCTTACAAGCATCACTAACTACCAAACCCTTGCATCTTCTTTGGGGTCTGCAGATGTTGATTGATACAAGGGGCACGTGCGTGTTCACGTCTGGCTGTGACGTCGGTCGATTCCATTAAAGATGTTCTTTCGAATAGCTTCAAGCATGTACCAGCTCTTTGAGTCTCTTCTCGATCTTCTTTCGTCCCTCGACAGTGCTCCAGACTTCGTGAGGGGCCCCATCAACAATGTCCCAGTCCTTCAAGTTATCCGTCAGCTTGGTCAAATCTCGCTGCTTCTTCTCCCATGTGTGGCTGTTCTTGATATGCTTTCCAGAGCTAATTACAACAAGCGGCGTGTCCTTGTCCTGAATCTGGCGGCTGGTCTGCGCGTCTCGTCGAGTAAAAGAACCAGCCACCAGGCTCTCCTGCAGCTTGGCAAAGATAAATTTACCGTTCTGCTGTGCTGATCGTCCATATACTCGGTCGCGGCTTGTTCGTCCGCGAAAGATGGCACCAGGGATTCGGTCCAATCCGAGTGGAGAAATAACACCCCAGAGCCAAAGGATAAATCCACGTCCCGGTGATGCGACATCATCAAGTAGATCCTCATGTAGAGGGTCGATAAGGAGTAAGCCTTTGATATGGTCTCCATGTCGTGCTGAAAAGACTCTCGAGTAGATCGATCCAATACCGGTACTGGCAAGAACCCATGGTCCACTCTCCCCAGCATCAGCCAGAGCCTCGCTAAGAGTATCGACCACGAAGCCCGCTGATGAAGGGGAGGGCGCGTTGTCTGACCAGCCGTAGCCAGGGCGGTCAGCAAAACAGTATCGCGAGATGGATCCATTCTTAACGGCATTGTCGGCAAAATTCCAGAATTCGTATTCGACAGTTCGCTCACCGGCCTCGAATAAGACGGTAGGGAGCTCGTTGCCCTTTGAGTCGGTCTTGTTGCCGTGGCAGTAGACGTGGATGCGATATTTGTGGTTGTCGACCCAGTGCAGCTTTCCTGGATGTGGCACGCCTGCATCGAGAGCTCGCAGGATGATGGTTAGAGTGATGAGAAAGACGGCGACTGACATGACGGCATAGGCGACAGTTGAGACCATGACCTCGGACCATTCAAACAGGGTTCTTCTCGTCTCAGCTCGACCGGTCAAGCGTTCCTCCTCCTCGGCCTTGCCCCATTTCACCATGCGGTCAACCAACAGTGTCCAGAGACTGGTGAGCAGGGCCCAGATGACGCTGATTGCGCCAACCCAGCCTTCTTCGTATCGAGTCTTTTGCACAGACAAGAGGAGAACCATATCAAGAAGAATGACGCCCTATCCGGAGTATGAGTGGGAGAGTGTAGCCATGATATTGGTTCATAACTTACCGACATAAAAATGGCGAGAATTCTAACAGACTTGGACGGCACCTCGAAGAAGATGAGGGTAAAGATGAGATTTACGAGCGTCCATGTTGCGAAACCAAAGGCAAACCAAGGGCTACCGCGAGTGTTAATACCGGGCGGCGTCACAAAGGTAGAGACGAGAAGCAAAATCCAGAAGATGAGTGTTATCAAGGTGAAAGCAACCGTCAAATATCGCAGAGCTCGGATACTCCAGAGGTTGTATGGAGACACTGCGGGATCATCGGGCGCAAGCAAGCCAGCCTGGGTCGAGTTGACGCGATTTGGTAGTAGTCTGGTATGCTCGTCTGGAGCGATCTGATCGCCTTCTTCGGGATCGTTGATGGCGCCATTTGAGCCGTTTGGTCGCCTTGGGTCGCGTTCCTGGCTCAGGTCCCTTTTGGGAGATGAGAATAGCGGCATTGTGAGAGTGCTAGTGATCTAATGGCGAGGGCGTTCCGTGTAATTGTGGGGGGATGGAAAAGTCAAGTTGGAAGAATCGAATGGCAAGTCACAGCAACGTTGACAGAACGAAGAAGAAGAAAAGGCCCCTTGGGTTTCAATTGTCTAGTTCTGAGACCGTCGAGGTTTCTATATAAACCGACAGCTCCGGTATTGGTTGGTACTGGCAACTGCTAATGCTAATAGTATAGTTGTTGTATCCATGATGAAGTAGACTAAACAAAGTAGAATACGTCATATGCCAGCCATTTTAGCCTGCCATGTCACCAATCGCCTCCATTAGTGGTACACAAGGGAGTGTTAGTGCCGACACAAGCTTCCGGGACATGGAGCTTGGAGCTGAAGCTTGTCTAGTTAATGGGCTTTGAGATCAATCATGATGAGCCTGTTCCGGCCACGAAGAAGAAAAAACAAGGCATTGGAGCACTATGAAAAGAGCTATATTTGACTGCAGCATGTGATGCTCAAATGGAAAGTCCAGGACCGGGCCAATCTTTCTCTCTCTCCCTCTCTCTCTCTCTCTCTCTCTTTCTTGGCTTGGCTTAGCTTGGCTGGCCCCGATCTTGTTCGGCATCGAACTCATTCACATTCACCATGACCTCTACCCACCCAATTGGTGTGTCCCCAATGACAGCCACACAGCATCATCATTATCTCAATTTCAGTTCAACTTGCACATTCCATTAAATCAGATGAAGCAAGAACCTCCTCAAATTCATGCATCCATCTATACCTTGTTAACGTTCGTGTTATTGTCGCTTACAGCACTGAAATATCATCTATCATTCTAGCCATCAATCTGATTTGCATTTATATCACAGTTTTTCAACAAGAGACTGGACCCTGTTCTTGAGCTCTCGTGTTTCAGTTTCGCCGACAGTAAACCAGCGACCGTCAAGGTTTCCCGCAACGGATCCGGCTGTCCGAGGATTGTTACTCAACATAACAAGCACCAAAACATGATAACATCATAATCAACAAGGCCTTGTCATCATGCATTGTTCCAACAATTGTTATTAGTACTATACTAGAAGGTGGTACGAGACCAGCAAAGAGTGTGTTTTGTATGACCAAATATCGAAAAATTATATATATAGTGGTCAGGGTATCTTTATTTCCTCCACCAACTCCAGGCTGCGCTTGTTTGTGGCATTACAAAACAAATCATAAAAGAAATAATCCCTTTCTCGAGTTCGTTGTCATTGTTCCCCCGTCGTAGCTGGCCGAAATCAAGTGTCCCAAGGCGCAACTAGGTTGAAATCTTTGCCACTGGGTGCCGTACTGATACCACTGGATACCGAATGAGACGCTTGGCTGCCTCCTGAATAAGACTGCGCGGCTGCTCTCTGTTGTCGGGCACGCTCATGTGCCTTTTCAGGACTCGGGCCTCGGGTTGAAGTGATGGCGTCTTCAGGTATTCTCTCGATTGGTAGGTGCAGCTTTACTGCTGCCTTAGGGTCCTTCATATCGATGCCGTGCCGTCTGAAAGTATTCTTCTTCTGCTCTTTCATAGCCTGCGCTGATGGTTCGCTCACCGATAACCAGTCCTTGACTTGGGTGAACCATCGAGGTTTTCCTGTTTTTGACTTTCTTGTGTCTGTTGAGGACATGGAGGTGCGTGATGTCTCAATTCCGATGATTGATGGGTCGTATTCATAATAACAACTTCTTCTTATAAAGGTTGATGATGTTGGGCTGACAGGTGTGTCCGGGGTTGGTGCCATGATTGAATTGGTCTGGACCTCAGACTAGGCCTTGAGAAGCTGGTATTTGATAATAATGGTGATGCTAATGATTGAGGAAGTCGCCAATGGTCCCAAAGGACTATTGTATTAAACCGTAAAACAAACAGATATGACAACCGTAGCTATCCAACGAGGCCCTCGAATAAATGGATGATCAAGAACGTTGACCGTTGCTGTACACGGCATAGTCCTTCACGCCACAGCCTCACTCGTGATCGTTATTCGCCCCCGAGACTCTAACGCCGTGGTCGGAGGCCGGAACGGTTTTTGAGAAGTCCAAATGTTTAATAAAACAAGTGCAGTATAGTGCAATATGATGCAGGAACAAAGTCGATGGCTACGATTGTGTGGCCACAAACGTTTTATGCCGTTGACGTCCAACGACAGCAGCGGGATGATTATGGTTGATGCAAGTGCACGAGTCGTGCAACGACATAAATGGGAAGCACTGCCGACGGAAACTAGAGGATCAGCGGGTGAATGGAATGCTGGAATAACTAGTGATTGTGAGCAAATCGTGAAGAGAAAGAGAAGAATATAGATAACTCTTGATGGAATTCTCCCAGATGAGAAGAAGAGAGTAAGCGTTGACAAGAGAAATAGAAGATGAGGAGAAGGAGGGACACGCCGATAAAAACAGAGCGGGAAAAAGGGTTTGAAGAAGGAATGAAAGCTCGACATCCCTACCAGGTACTGATTGCGAGTCTAAAGCACCGAGGCAGTTCATGTCACCAAGGCTGTTCGGCAGCAACAAGACGAGTAAAATCTATTAGTATCCAATAGTACAACACAAAGTAGTACTTTCTAACCGTCCATCCACTCCCACCCTAACCCTCGCGCGAAAGCCCCCAGCGTCACTTCAGCTTTGGCGCTTCCAAATCATGGATGTATGCAAATCATGCAACGCGATGCAACACAGCGTCACACCCTCAACTCTGATCTCAGCTTGATTCAGCTCAAAAAACTAACACGCAAGAAAAAAACAATTTAATCGTACATAGAGGCTGCTAATTAGTTCGAGACCGCATCAGGCAAGGGCTACACAACATAGCATTTTCTCTTTCATCTTTGTTTTCTTGTACTCGATAACGTAATAGCCAGTCCTTGCATTTGGTTTTGTCCCTGTCATTAGTAGCAGCTGAAGTTTGAATGGGACTTTGTACAATACCAGTGGCTTCAATGGTGTGTCCCAACAAGACCAGGGGTGTGGAATAATCCGAGGTGGCACTGGACTAACTGTAGATACCGGCATAAGCTGGGTGCCAAGTCGTTGAGCCGTCTTTCGGATAGTCTTTCACATTTTGGATCCGAGTGCTTGGTCTATCAAAAACCAAAGAAGTGCCAAACGCCTCTTTTAAGACGATCATTGACGAGACCGGGAATCCTGTGTCATGGGTTTCCTGTCTGCCTACGTATTGTTTCTGTGGCTGGCTAGTTCTCTGTTGAGTGGCACAACAAAAAGCAAAATGAGTCTCGATGGAGCAATCTACGCCGATCACTTCTTTTTCAAACTCTCAAGGAAGTCGACGACCTTTTTTGTTAGATGCGCCATTTTATGCAAGTCTTGCAGCTAAACAGGGTTTACTACAAACCTGCACCAAGAGTAACACACCACTAGACAAGCATTTTCGTATTGCATCAACAAGCAAAGTTCACCCTCCCCTGACTAGGTACTTTCAACGTTTTTACGCGTCTGTGTATAATAGGAAAGGTACCTTCTTGATAAGGCCCACGCTCGATAAGCACAATTCCTGCATCTCAACTTTGCCATAACAAACAGACAATGCCGTATCACGGTGACAAACAAACATTGGCACAAGTGTAAAGCCACCAATGCACAAACATGAGCTATCAAGATTGGACAGGCCTGGTGCAAGATGCTGCAGTGCCCGGCCAGATAATTCGGGCCCTCTCTGGTCACAACAGGATGTCTGAAACTCCAACAATAGTCTGTCATTTCCAAGAGTTTGGTGCAGTCACTATCGCATTGTCTCGGAGGATTTTTGCGGAACCCACTTGGTATCTAATATCAATGAATATAGATCTGAAAAAGAATAGGCTGCCAAAGCGTAAGTGACACTGTCTAATAGGATAGGTACTAGGAAGGTTTGCATCTAAGTTTTATGATATGAGATTTAAAAAATCTAATAGTCTGGTCTAAAGCAAACGTAGGATGTGGTAGTAAATTCACTTCTAAGGCCAACTTGTCTAATATCCTAAGGGTTGTATTCAAAGGCTGTGTTCCAAACACATCACATCTATCTTGTCAGGCTTCACTTCGAAGTGATTTTAAACGGATTGAATCTACAATATGTACCTATGTAAGATAAACCTGCATATAAAGAGCAATTATACTGTAGCATGGCTATTGGTGAGACGCTGAGAATAAGATGGCCCGTGCTTGAATGCATCGGAACTGGCGCCAGATCTTGTCCGATCGACTTGTTCAAAGTGGGGGCAATGAGATCCAATCCCAGCAGAAAGTGATTAGGAGGGTCCAACCATTCTGTAATCCATGTCTACCTAGGTACAGTAACACTACATGGACTTGTCCAGTGAATAATTATCAAGCAAGCCAAACACCTTCTAAAAAAAATATGTTTCACAAGAATTCACTTGTGTATCTTGATTCAGCTTCGACTGTCTCTGGTCGTACCAGGTTTCTACAAGTATTCACATCATCGTTCTGGGCCAGAGATAAATGGTCTGACGTTGCATTTCAGACTGCTAGCTACCCAGGTACCCTAGTACTCTCACTACCTATATTAGAAAGGTTAACTGCTAAAAGCATAAGAGACGTAATTAGCAAGTCAGTTTGTTATGATTTGGGCCAGACTATTAGGTGAATTATTCTTATACCTAAAGATCAGATATCAACTTTTTGTTACCCACTGGTATACATATAACCCAGTCGGGCGGCAGGTCGTCTGTGGAGGCTGATCCCAGGCGCCAAAAGCCCACTATGGACAACACCTGACGGGAGCACTAGTATGGAACCCAACTGAGACCCCATCCCTCTAAACTCTCAACTCTCTCCAACTCAAACTCGTCCTCTCCGAGTCTAATCCCTCATTGGTCAGCCCAACGCCCGATCCAGTTGCGAATCATCTCTGTCCATCGGTGCATTGCCTGCCCGCTCAGTCTAGTTCACTCAGTTTTGTTTGCGCGAACAAGCTCTCGTCCCTTACATACGCCGCTTTCGAGACTCCCATCGCGAGTCAACAAAGCAACATCAAACTGCGGCGCAACGCAATCATGCCCGCTCTCACAATCAATACCGACAACCCTCCCAGTAACAATCCTCCTTCGCTGAACCGACCGCCTGTTTCTCCCCTTACTCCCCCGCTACGCCCTACCGAACCTGAAGCTTCCGGTTCTAGCGCCGCTGCTCGCCCAAGCTTTACACTTTCACAGCCTGATCAGACTGCCATACCACCGCCCGCACCTCAACCATTAGATTTTGATGCGAACCCAGATGTGATAGCTCTCAAATCGGCGATATCTATCTTGCAAATACAGAGACAACGTGCCACCACCGATATTCAAGCGCTCAGCCGCGCAAAAGATGAGGCTGTACAAAACCCTGAAGCATTTATAAGTGACCTTGTCGCGAACAAGATCAATACACCCACCAGCGACGATAGCGACAGCGATGATGACGATAGAGAGATGAGCGAGCAGGGTCCGGGAAACAAGAAGCAAGACCCCGGTGAAGGCTCCTCCAAGCAGCGCATCGCTACCGAACCACCAGCCTGGAGGAATATTCCTCAGCCGCAAAACGTTGTTCGCTGCCCACCCATAAACTGGTCTCAATATGCTGTAGTTGGCGACTCCCTGGATAAGCTGCACAACGAACAAGTCGCCCGTCCAAACCAGGGCACGCCGGCAACCGTGGGCGCAAACGGTATGTACGAGTTCAGGGGTGAGGGGAAACAAGAGAGATACCAAGGTGTCGCGGCACCTTATGCTCCGACTCAGGATCGTCTGAAAAAAAAGCCCAAGAGCAGAAGGTCATGAACAACGATGACAAAATGACGTTTACGAAAGAATGATTCTGCGCACAGTTTTCTATCATCATATTTGAGCGAATATTCATTGCGATGGGTTTATACCATCTGCAGTCCGGCGTTGATTATGAATGGGATGTTTGTTTGAGGGGTACACTATCCAAACAATACACCCAGCGTTGCCTTTTTTCTTTCTCGTTTGTTGGCCATTCTCGATAGAAAGTCTTCAAAGAATCACCATAAATGCTACTTTTTTTCGTTTGTTTTATTTCCTTATGAGCTTATTTGCGGGCTATGGCGAGTTGATCTCTGCCATGGCAAAGAATAGGTCAGTTAGTAGTTATACAGCATAAATCGTAACTGTCAAGACCGGCTGGCTTGACTATTTCTGCTGCTGATTACGTTCGTGCAAGAGTAAGAAGCAATTCGGACAACGTCGCTATTTCATTTGCTTCGCACTTTACGAATGGTAGGCTGGCCCTACCTACCTAGAGGAAATGGCAATCCTCATCAAATTCATCCGCCATGTTCCCCAATCCCACAACGCCAAATAAGCCCAAATAATGTCCCTTAGTTTGCCTATACGCCTGCCTCCCTTATGTTTTTAAGCACATCTTCAAATCCAGCTTTTGACAAGGCACATGGATTATTCTGGAAAATCCCTTAGAATCATATTAGCTAGTCCGTTCTATAATTGTATGAGATTATGGTGGACTTACTCCACGCTCTGCTGGACTGATCGCCGAAGGAGCCGGTTGTATTTCTTCTTGTCGTCTGCGCCGCCGCCCCAGTACATCTTGGTAGCTTCAGGACGGACAATCTTGCGAGGGTCGTAAGCGGGCTCGTCGTCTTCGAGAATGGCAAAGATAGCCTCAATGTGTGACCGCACGTCTTCCCTCTTGGCCGGGTTGGGCGTATAACATGCTGTGCCGTCTTCAGCAATGCGGTGGTGGAAGATCTTGGTCTCGAATCTGACACGAGGTTGCTCCTCGGGGAAACGGACACTGAAATTCATCTTGATCCTGAACAGGCCTCCGTCAAGGTTGGTCATGGGGCGTCCAAAATAGGTCACCACCCAGACAAAAGGGTTTTCGTTCTCAAGAAAGACGTCGTGTGGCATATCGCTCTTTTTGAACGCTTCAACGACCTGCTCGAACTGGTGCTGAAGGTTCACAGCAACAGTGGTCTCCCGCTTTTTGGCATCCAGACCTTCCCCGGCCCATTTCAAGGGTTCCGCGTCAATGGCGGCCTTGATAACGTGCAGACGACGTTCAAGCTCTGGGTAGTTGAATTTCCCATCCATAGAATTGTTGCCAGGAGACTCAAAGGGCATCCTCGCAAACGGCTGGTGCGGTTTCGTTTCCGACTTTCCCTTCTCGATGGCTGCCCGGTATGACTCAAAGTACCACAGGAATCGGCGTTTGCATAGATCTTTGAATGGTTCGAATGGCACAGTGGTTTCATCGACATCTTCATCCTCTACCTCTACCTCTACTCTAGGGGTGCTTTGTTGCTGAATTCCATTAGAGCTGAGCCCAAGGTATCCCTCGAGGCGTTGGATGACACTGATACGCAACGTCTCATGCCGAATCTAGCAAAAAGTCAGAGGCTCGCATACTCATACAGTCTGGCTGGTATGGGGCAAACCTTTTGGACGTAGTCCTTTTGGGCTTTCTTGTCGGATTCTTCGTTGGCATCCTCGAACCCTGGTTCGTTCTCGTACGGGTTGGAGGAGAGAAGACTTTGGATGGACAATAAGATCGACTCCAGTCCTTGCGCAGAGGACCACTCCTCTCCACGCTCACCACGCCATGTTCTAGTGCTTGTTAATTCAACTATTCAAAGCTTTGGCAGAACTATAATTACCCCAGAATGGATCTGGTAATGTTAGTGAGTTAAAAAGTCATAGTTTGTTGCGTCATGAGACTTACAAGCAGACTTTGCCGTTGCTGTAGACGTTTGGATTGAAGCGGCAACGTCCACCGTTTGTGGTGGCACAGACGACAGTTGGTGATTTGGAGGGATACTCTGCCATAAATATGAGTTTGGGGTCTATAATGCGAATGGAATCTTTAACCTTTGTGGAACCGGATCGCAAACTGTCATATTTGAGTCAGTCTATTCTATCAAGAGTAAGCCGAGACAGCAAACTAACCTCGAAAAATCCAAATTCATACGGAGTCTCGTGGGGGCCCATGACCAAGGCTTTCACATTGCGAACATCGACATCACGACATGCCACGGCGATTGCTGCAGTGAAGCGATGCAAGAGTCAGTTGGTCGTCTTCACGATGCGCATTAATCAATCGGGAGCCACATACAAAGGTCGCAATTCTTCTGGATATCTCCAAGTTCCTTGCCATAGAAATCAGTATCTCAAGCTCGGATCGTAAACCAAGGGATGGGAGAGGCTGCAAGCGGATGCGGGGCAGCGAACCTTGGAGATGCGAATGATGGACTGGTCCATGGCGTTTCGTTTATTGCAGTTTAGGTGTAGTTATCCAGGGCTTGACATCGACTGCGGAACGCGACGCACATGGACGGCTCGCGATCAATAATTTAGTGTTGAGGTTGTAAGATCTCTGTTAGGCAGTTGAGGTAAAGGTGGATTGATGTTGGGTGTTGTAGGTAGTTGACAAGGTGGGATGTGAGACTACCTTTTGGCGTGCCTATGAGGAAAGTGGGGTGGGACTGCTGCCTCGCTGTTAGTTGTGCTGGGCGGGCCAGAGTTTCTTAAGCGCAAGATCAAATTATCCAGAGCATAACTAGAGTGTCTCTTTGTAACTTTCTTTCTTTATTGTTGTTCATGTAGTTTGCAGCCTTTGAGTTTTAGTAAATGATGGTCACTTCGGGAGGGGCTTAGGATGTAGATGTGCCGGTGATTCATAGCAAGTAATGATTCAGGACGTTAGTAATTATTGATGAATCAGCAATATTCGTGTCAAATGCATATTGCCGTTTGCCTGTCAAATAGATAAGCCACACAACTGGTTTGTCATTGATTTATACTGTTCTGGAACTTTATGCTCCTGATTGACCGATACAGAGACTGTTTGGACAAGACAAACGTTGTCCTGTGAAATACGACGTATAACTAAATACCACAAGAGTACAAACCAGGTAGTATAAACTAACTCAATAACTCATCTCCACGGCTCCACGGCTCCACGGCCGACTTTTCCAGTACCTTAAGACTCTGGCTTCTTCTATTGCTGCCAATGTACAGTTTCGATGTAACATGCCTTGAATAGAAGCCTACCCGGGAATCACCAAGTTAGTGTGGAAGGTGGGGCATATGGCAGGTACCAGGCGGTTGCCGTTAGAGATGTAGCCTACGCGTAGCTTGACGCGTTAATTGATTTTCTCAAGCTTCCACCCCCATCTCCATCAACGCAGTTTGGCGATTCTGATATTACCATACAACGGCACCGAATACTATCCAGCATCACTCATAGCCAGCCACAATTTAATTCAAGCAAAATACCAAGCTGATATGGCTAGCTTTTTTGATCTCAAGGCTAGAAAGGCTGCGGCGGCTGCTAACGGTAACGCCGACCAGAAACAAGACAAACCTACCAATACTCGAACCCAACCCTGGGTCGAAAAATAGTATGTACATCCCACATACCCAAGATAGAGCCCGAGCCTTGAAACTCACTATATATAGCCGACCAAAGACTCTCAGCGATGTCACTGCCCAAGACCATACCGTCGATGTGCTCCAAAGGACACTCCAATCCTCCAATGTGCGATTGTCCTACTCCCGAATACCAAAGCGCTTCAATACTGATTCTTGTAGCTCCCTCACATGCTTTTTTACGGCCCTCCCGGTACAGGAAAGACATCGACTGTCCTGGCACTGGCAAAGGAGCTCTATGGTCCCGATATGATCAAGTCAAGAGTGCTTGAACTCAACGCTTCCGACGAGCGTGGTATCTCCATTGTCCGAGAAAAGGTCAAGAACTTTGCGCGAATGCAATTGACCAACCCACCCCCTGGATACAAAGAAAAATATCCCTGTCCTCCGTTCAAGATCATCATCCTTGACGAGGCCGACTCCATGACCCAAGATGCCCAGAGCGCACTACGACGAACCATGGAGACGTACAGCAAGATCACCCGTTTCTGTCTGATTTGCAACTACGTCACTCGGATCATTGATCCGCTCGCTAGTCGATGCAGTAAATTCCGATTCAAGAGTCTCGACCAGAGCAATGCGAAGAAACGACTTGAGGAGATTGCAGAGAAGGAAGGCGTGCCGCTCAAAGACGGTGCAGTTGATGCTCTCATCGAGTGCAGTGAGGGTGATCTTCGAAAGGCTATCACCTTCTTGCAGAGCGCTGCTCGGCTGGTAGGCACCAGTGCTTCCGACAAGGACGGAGAAGGTGATGAAGCAATGGATGTGGATAAGAAGGCAGTCACAGTCAAGATCATCGAGGACATCGCTGGTGTCATCCCGGATAGCACCATTGGTGATCTTGTCAGCGCAATACGCCCAAAGAGCTCGGGATCACCGTATCAGGCTATCTCTGATGTTGTCGAGAAGCTTGTTGCAGACGGTTGGAGTGCAGGACAAGTTGTTGGTCAAGTAAGTCCAGCATCAATATTTCGCCCGAGAACCTGCTAACAAATGGCAGCTCTACCAAGCCTTGACATATGATGAGATAATTCCCGACGCACAGAAGAACAGGATTGTTATGGTATTTTCAGAGGTTGACAAGCGATTAGTAGACGGAGCTGACGAGCACCTTTCTGTCCTCGACCTCTCAGTGAGAATATCAGCTATCCTAGCGAAGAAATGAGTTCCTCAAACCCGGCGTGCAGGGTTGTATCCTAGCAATGAGAAATGGAGTTGTGGTTAGATATGGATTGGCGTTTAAACTGGTTCTATACTACCAGACATTTATTGTACTTGTCGTTGTTTTATTCTAGTCCTATGCCGCGTCTTCCTGGCCGAGTAATCCAAGGTTGCCATGCAAAATAGACCATACATCTTTTGGTTGTTCCGTG